AGGCCCTATCCCAAAGGATATGATAGACGCTGATGGTACCCTATTGAAGGCCTCACCATCCAGGGGGAGCAGAAAGGATATGTGATAGACAGGGTTTCAGTTGGGGGAAGGTGATAGGGGAGGACGGGAGGGAGAAGGGAACCGGGATTGTCATGTAAAACAATCTTGTTTCTAATTCAAATTAAAAAATCTGAAAAAAAGAAAAAGAAAATCTATCAGTGTAATCCACCATCTAAACAAATTGATAGAAAACACACATGATTATCTCATTAGATGCTGAAAAAGCCTCCAACAAAATTGAATGTCCCTTCATGATAAAGGTCAAGAGGATCATACCTAAATATAATAGAGGCATTATACAGCAAGTCAACAGTCAACATCAGGCCAAATGAAAATAAACTCGAAGCAGTCCTTCTAAAAACAGGAACAAGTCAAGGTTTTGCACTCTCTCCATATCCACATAATGTAGTACTCAAATATCTAGATAGAATAATAAGAAAACAAATGGGGATGAAGAAGATTTGGAAGATAAGGAGTCATACTTTCAATATTTTCAGTTGAAATGATAGTTTATATAAGTGACACAAAAATTTCTACCAGGGATTTCCTACAGCTGATAAATATATAGAATGATACAAGATAAACGCAAAGAAATCAGTAGTCCTGCTGTATAAAATAAAAAATAGCCTAGAAAGAAATCAGAGAAATATAACCCTTTACAATAGCCACAAATAACACAAAAGATTTTAAAGTAGCTCTAACCAAACAAGTGTAAAACAAGAAAAACAAGAACTTTAAGTCTTTGAAGAAAGATATTGAAGAAGAAAACAGAAAATGAAAGGGTATCCATGTTTTTGTATAGGTAGGATCAACATGTAAAAATGCACATTTTATAAAAACCATCTACAGATTAACTGCAAACTCCATTATTATCCCAACACAATTCTTTACATAATTCTAAAGAACAAAACTTAACTGCATATGAAAAAACAAAACAACCAAGGTAGCAAAAAACAATCCTGTACAATAAAGGAACATCTGGATGCATTCACATCCTTGACTGCATGCTCTTCCATATAGCTACACTAATAAAATCATCTTAGTATCAGTATAAAAAGAGACATGTGGATCAATGGAATTGAATTGAAGACCCTGATATTAATCCACACAACAATGAACAACTGATTTTTGACAAAACAGCTAAAATTACGCAATGGAAAAAAGAAAGCATCTTCAACAAATGGTGCTGGAATAACTAGATGTCAACATGTAGAAAAGTGCAAATACATCCATATCTATTGCCATATATAAAACGAAAGTCCAAGTGGATCAAAGACCTTAACTTAAATCCATTTACACTGAACCAGATAGAAGAGAACATGATAGGTAGCCTTGAACACAGGGGCACAGGAAAGCACTTCCTAATTATAATACCAGTAGCATAGACTCTGACAGCAATAATCAATTAATGGAACCTTCTTAAACTGGGACACTTCTGTAAGGCAAAGAACATGGTCAATAAGATAAAACAGAAGCCTACAGAATTGGAAAAGTTCTTCACCAACCCCACATCTGACAGGCAGTTGATTTCTACAATAGATAAATAGCATAAAAAAACTAGATAACAAAATATCAAATAATCCAATTAAAAATGTGGTACAGACTAAACAGAAAATTAAAAAATAAGAAATTCAAATTACCAAAAGACTTATAAGAATTGTTGAACATCCTTAACTATCAGGGAAATACAAATCAAAATGACTCTAAGAAGCCATCTTACACCTACCAGAATGGCTAAGATCAAAAACACTAATGAGTGCATATGCTGGAGAGGATTGGAGAAAGGGGAACACTCCTCCATTGCTGGTGGGGGGTGCAAAGTGTACAGACTCTTTGGAAAGCAGTATGGCAGTTTCTAAGAAAATTGTGAATCAATCTTACCTCACGAACCAGCAATACCACACTTGGGCATATACCGGAAGTTGTACAATCATACCACAAGGGTGTTTGCTCTCCTATGTTCATAGCATCATTGTTTATAATAGACAGAACCTGGAAAAAACCTAGGTGCCCATCAAGCAAAGAATGGAGAAAGAGAATTGCTACATTTACACAATGCAATATTACTCAGTGGTTTAAAAATGATATCTTGCAATGTACAGGCAAATGGATGAAACAAAAAACCCACCTGTGTGATGTAATCCAGATCCAAAAAGACAATTATGGTGTATATTCACTCATAATTGGATAGCATATGTAAAGCAAATGATGCTCCAGGCTACAACCCACAACCCCAGAGAAGGTAAGTAAAAAGGTGCACTTTAAGAGGGACACACATGAAAGACCCCAGGAAGGGAAAATAGTTCAAGTAGTCTGGGTAAACTGGGAGGGTGGGTAAAAGGGAGGGGACAGTGGAGAGAAAGATGAGGGATCAAGAAGACCTAATTGGGGGATGGACAGAGTGGGAGAGCATTGAAAGAGATATCTTGATAGAGGGATACATTATGGAGTTAGGGGGAAACCGATTGCTAGAGAAATTCTTAGGAATCCACAAGGACAGCCTCCAGCTAAGACTCTTAACTATAGTGGAGAAGCTAACTGAACAGGCCTTCCATTAATCAGAATAGAGACAACCCTAATTGTCATCATAAACATACAGCCAATAACTGATGGAGGTAGATACAGTAACCCAGAGACAAGAACTGGATGAGATCCTGAGAATCACTTGAAGAGAGGGAGGAGGGTTCATATAAACAAGTAGTGTCAAGAGTATTAGGGGAAAACAGAGAGACAGTTGACGAAAGCTAGTGGGAGCTCAAGGACTATGGATTGACAGATTTGGAAACAACATGGGTCTATACTAGGCCTTCCGAATGTTGGTGACAATTATACGGCCCCTGGCAGTGGCACCAGTACCTATCCCAGGTGCATGAACTGGATTTTTATAACTCATTCCCTATGGTGGAATACCTTGTTCAGCCTTCATACAGGAGGGAGGCTCTGGGTCCTGCTTATGTTAGTATGACAGACATTGTTGGCTTCTCAAGAAAAGGCTGTACCCGCCAGGCATTGGTGACGCACGCCTTTAATCTCACCCTCGGGAGGCAGAGGCAGGCGGATCTCTGTGAGTTTGAGACCAGCCTGGTCTACCAGAGCTAGTTCCAGGACAGCATCCAAAGCCACAGAGAAACTCTGTCTCAAAAAAAGAAAAGAAAAGTCTGTATGCCCTCTGAGAAGTGGATGGAGATGAAAAGGGGGCAGTGGGATGCTTGAGAAGGGGAAGGAAGGGAAATGGTCTTGGTATCTAAAATTTAAAAAGTTAGAAAAAATGAAAAATAGTTTTACATTATATAAATAATTAAAATAACGTGCAAAACTTGCACTGCAATCTGTATCTTTCTGTATCTCTCTGTTTCTGTCTTTGTCTCTCTGTTTCTTTCTGTCTGTGTCTCTGTCTGTCCAGGGTATGTTTGTGTTTTCTCACAGGAAGAAAATTTTTCTTTCTTTTTAATTTTCCTCCATTTATTAAAAATAGATTCTTTTCTCACACACTATAACCCTATTACAATTTTTGTTCCCTCCATTCATACTAGTTCCTTCCAATTTCCCCTAATATGGAGATCCACTTCATTTCTGTCTCTCATCAGAAAAGAATGAGCTTCTAAGAGGTAACAAAAAAAAAACAAAATATAATATAATGAGCTAAAACATAAAACAGTACATTGTAGGACTTAAGTGATAAAGTCCAAAGAGTGTTGTATCATATGTAGCAAATCACTTACAGGACTTTAACACAGTATTCACTTGTTCTATGTGGTTACCTCGGTTCCTCTTGCTTTCTCTGTTCTTGATGTGAAGCAATAGTGATGTAGGGATTTACTAATTTCACTACCAGCTGGAATATTTCACATGTTTCATTATGCCTCCTACTGCACATTATTCAGAAAGAAATAATAATCATTTAGCCCTAAGACAAGTGTCTTTGGTTTTTATTCACTCAACTCTTCCATCCTGTCCTTTGGGAGCTTACTTATGGGTTGGAACATCCATTCATTGATAGAGCATGAGACAAAGTACTTTCACTGCATTACTTTATCCTGTAAACTAGGAAATAGAGCCCTGCTAATCACAGCTTCATTTGGTTATTAGGTAAATCATACTTTTAGAAGATTAAAATTATTGTGTTTTATACAGCAAAGAGAAGGATTTATCCCCAAACACACCCTCATGTTCTCTGAAGAGAGAAAGTAGGTAAATCCACTTTTCTAGACGCAGGCATGGATCAGAGCATCTACTCAGTGATTTACTGAGGAGTAATTAGGGCGTGGTGCAGTAGCACAAAGCCCAGGGTCTGAACTGGAAACTTCATTTCTCTATTAGGTGGTCCATTTGGAAGTAGACAACTATTAATTTTCTCAAAGTGAGACCTAAATGGATTGTAATCTTTGTGGACATTATATTTTAATCTGTAGATTTATGTAGATGTAGAAATATATGTAGATGTATCATAGAAGACAGGAATCTGAGACACAGACACTAAGCAAGGTAGAATCCAATGGTTTTCTTTGGTTTGAGAAATTTTGACATTCCAAACATTTTGGTGGGTTTCAAACAGCATGGGATTTTGTCCCTTTCTTTTTCCCACTACACTTAGAATATCATCCTCTGATGAATCCTGTTTACACCAACCTCAGTTGTTTTCATATGAAAACTTTTTAACTTTACACTTGTGGTCAAATTAGGCAAAGAGGATTTCATCCCTGAGCTCTTACTGCCAGTTGTAATCGGGTAGTGCTGAAATCATGGCGCCTCCAGGTACAAAAGAAAATCTACAAATGCATTTTCCAGCTTGTTTTTTTTTTCACCTGAAAACAGGGCCTCAGATGCAGTGCCTAAGGGAAGAAAGAGTTTCAGAATTCTCAGCGGCAATGGAGGAGGTATAAGAAAGTACTCAAAGTGATTCCTGAGACAGCCTCACTCATCAGCAAAGCTAGAAGTGTATGTGGACACTGACACATGAGCTGAGTGTATACAAGCTGGACACTGTAAGAACTGCACCCATCAAACTTATGTCTGGACAGACATGTGTGTTAGTAGGGTATTTTCTTTTGGTTATTGGTATCAGGATCTTGCTTAATCTCTGTCATGTATGTGCCTATAATTCTTCTGAGTGTTATTTCAGAATTGAAGAGGATTTTCATTATAAAGGAGATGTGGACATCGGTGCATTTTTTCCAGTTCATTCTTACTACACAGGCAACAAAGTTCCACACTTATATGTGCCATACTATTTTAATGACATTCACATACAGTAAGTGTCATTATTCATCTATCCTGTTTCTTATTTCATATTAAATATGACCTATAAACATATGTGTGTGTGTTTGTGGGTGTGTATTTAAACTTCCACACTTCTTATTCTTATCATGAAAAACAAACTTCTAATCCAAAATCCTTTGTTATATTGTATGTTACTGTTCATTTCTTTTTTCTCAAAAATGATAAAATAAGGTTGCTTACTGTGTGTTGATCATTTCCTTCCAAATATGGTAATAGTATTATTGTGATCTTAGTTGGTCATGTCTTTGCAGATACATTTCTCATATTAGGTCTTCAGAGGATGGATAGTTTTATCAAAGTTTGACTTGGGTCTTTGGTGTAATCTAGAAGTCCATGTGTACTCGTGTGAAAAGAGGTTATGCCACCAAATACTCATCCTACTGTGGGATGTGATGGTAGTGTCAAAAGGTTGCATGTCTAGTTGCTACTGATTTGGAAGTAAGCCTATCAGATTTAGAAGTTTTATTATTCTTTGTTGTCAAAATACCTCTGCCTGTCTTCAATTTTTTTGATTAAATTAATTATTTGCTAATCTGTTACTCTCAGACACATTTTTCTTCTACAAGATTGTTCAATGAATTTCTAATGCCTTTTTATGTTATTTTCATGTGAGTGTTCATATGACACATTGAGATTTTGATTGTCAGAAATAAAATCCAACTAAGTTTGTGGTAAGAAAATTTTTTGTCACTACAAAAGACTAAAAGTGTGTCTTTTCCCCTTTCTTTCTGTCCTAAAAGTTTACCGAGGTAAAAAACATTTCCCAAATTTTTATCATAAAAGTTGGAGTACAAAAAGTTTATGTATGTCAAAGCTAAAACCTTTTTGTAGGGCTTTGGATCACATCCTTTATTATAGTTTGGAAGTGCATATATGTTTTCAAAGAGGAAATGTGCCCTCTTTCTCACTCACAGTATGTTTGCCTCTTTTCAATTGTATCTGCATTTTTACAGGTCTAGAGATAATCATCTTAATTATCAAGATTACAAAACTTATAAGCTATAGACAGGAATTTTGCCCCACTACATAGTTGTTTATGTGGTCCAAATTTCTAAATGGAATTTACATTAATGCTATCATAACTGTTCACATAATAGGATTTGTGAACATTAAATGTTAATATAAATTATATTTTAGGAGCAACATGGCTTAGTCTGTTCAACTGCACATGGAACAGACTTTACAAAGTACTTTTACCACAAATTTTTCTCTGTGGCTGTGCGTAATCATGCTTTAGTGTATACCTGCATGTGAGAGAATATCTATGGGAGCATGTAGTCACCTCCAACCATGTATGTGCAGGGATCAACTCAGACCTCACACAGTGCTAGGATTCTTACCTAGCTGAGACATAGTTTTTCATGTGGTAAATCCTGTTGTGCATATTGGCTGTTATCCTTCCAAATTAAAATTGTTGTTTTCTCTAGAAAAGTATGAGAGGTGGATGTCAATTAGGAGGCCTCTGCACTCCAGGGGACCCCTGGTAGTGGATTAGTATTTGTCCCTGGTGTAAGAAGGGACTTTGA